GCCGCCGCCGCCGCCGTCGCCATCGCCGTCGTCGTCGTCGTCGCCGTCGCCGTCGCCGTCGTCGGAGTCGGAGTCGGAGTCGTCGGAGTCGGAGTCGTCGGAGTCGGGGTCGGGGTCGTCGGAGTCGTCGGGGTCGGAGTCGTCGGAGTCGCCATCGTGGTCGCCGTCGCCGTCGCCGTGTCGCGGTCGGAGTCGGAGTCGGAGTCGGAGTCGGAGTCGTCGGAGTCGGAGTCGTCGGAGTCGGTCGGTGTCGTCGGACTCGCGGTCGCGCCCATCCCGCGGGGCGCGGGGGCTCGCGCCGTCGAGGCCTGCTCCGAAGCTGGTGGTTGCTAGGAGGGCGGGCGGCGGCGCCGCCTCGGGGGCTCGGGGTCGGGGGGGGGGGCGCGGCCCTCGGGGTGGGCATTTGTTTCCCCAAAACCTTGCCTACCGGGACCGGGGGTGGGGGTGAGATTCCGGCTGTGGGGGGCGCTCCCGCTCGAGACTTCCTCGCGTCCAGAAAAGACACCCCCGATCCCGCAGCGCATTTTTTTGTCCCAGATTGAGCACTTTTCTGCCCCCCTGGGTCGAGCCCCTCCGCCCCCTGCCCTCCCCCATTCCCCCCTGTTCCCTTCCCCCATCCTTGTCTCCCCAGCCCTCCTCACCCTTCGCCCCCTCTCTTCTGCCCCCCCTCCTCGCCTGCCCCCCCTCCTCCGCCATCCCATTCCCCCCTGTTCCCGCTCGCCCTCACTCCCCCCTCTGCCCTCGCTCGCCCTCGCCCGCCCCCTGCCTCGTTCCCTCTGTGGCTCGCCGCCTCCCCCTCTCGAGACCCCCTCCCACCCCGTCCCACCGCTCCCCCTCCCTTCCCTCCCCCCTCTTCGCCTGCCCCAGCCATGCCCGCCCTTCTTTATTTTGTTGTTATTTCATTCACTCTCCCCTCTGCCCTCGCTCGCCCTTGCCCGCTCCTTGCCCCGCCCCCCCCGCGGCTCGCGGCCTCCCTCCCTCGAGACCCTCTCCCGCCCCATCCCACCACCTCGTTCCCCTCGTCGGCGCCGTCGCCCTCGCCGTCGACCTCCGCGGGGCCTCGCCCAATTCACGATCCCATTCCCGCGCCCGCTCGGCCCAGGTGCCGACCCAGACCGTCTGCGACATGGCGTTCGTCGACGACGAGGTGGCGGTGCAGGCGTTTCAGGAGCAGCACAGGGCGCATTTCAGGATTGGCTGGGGAGGAGGATGAGAAGCAGGAATGATTGCGGAGATGGGTTCCAGTAGGGGCGGTAGTGGGCATGGCCAGGGCTAGGATCACGGGCAGGTGTATGAGGTGTGTGGCGAGGGCGAAGGGATCGGTGGAGGGGGCGCAGAGGTCTCAGGAGCCAGGGGGCGTGACGAGGAGGCAGGGCGGGCGGGGTGGGAGCAGGGGGGGAGCGAGTGTGAGCGGCATGGCCACGCCCACTCACCTCGCCATTTCTCACGTGGTCGTCGTCGTCGCGCCATTGTTGCCTCGCAGCCCCCATCTCGCTGTGCCCTCCCCTCTCTCATTGTTCCCCCGATACTCCTGCCGCGGTGCCCCCGCCCGTCCACGCTCCCCTCCCCACCCTCCCGCCCAGGGCGGGAGGCAGTCGGGGCGGATGCATTTGGGGGCGCGCGCGGTTCCCAGGACAGTTGTTAAACGCAAGCTTGGGTGCATCCTCGAGAAGGGGGACGCAGCGCCCGCTGTCAAGCGTCGCAAGAGGATCAAAACGTTCCAGATGGTGATGATGCTAGACAATATTCTACGGGGCTCCTGCGGCTCCCAGCTTTCGAAGTTTCAAATACCCCGTTCGGCCGAGACTGGACGCTATTTGGGGGGCCCTTTCCAATGGCCGATTCTTACGCTATCGCCAGATGCTGGCCCCGACATGTGTTGCCTAGACCATTGGCTGTCATACGGGCTCTCCGATCTTAACATCCAGGTCGATTATGATACATCCCACATGTTAAACAATACTACCAAGGGTGCCCTGAGGATACCCGCGGTGCATCCCAAACGATTGCCATCGCCAGGCTCCCTTGGGGCTGCGGGGCTCAATATCCACCTCCCCTTCGTGTCTGGCGCAGTGGCGCCTCCCTCCTTGGTATCGCGGCCGCGGTCTGAACCTGGTGGGTATTGCCCCCCTTGGCCCCAAGCAGCTGCCGCGCCGTGTGCAGTCGCCATCCCGCCCAGGCACGCTGGCTTGTACCGCTTCCTCGTTATCATGTGCGCGGCCGCCAACTGCGTCTACAGGAGCACCCTGTCGCCGCCGCGGTTGGCACAGATCCAGGAAACGCTTCGCGCTCATCACGACGCGTGCCACACCGCCTGCAACGACCACCTCTTCCAGCTTTACCTCCCGTGGATGAGGAAGCAGATGAAGCAGGATCGTTTCTTTCATGCTTCTGCGGGGCGGCCTGGGCGGGTGCTCGCGCGCTTCGCTGCTCTGGTAGCGGCATGGGGTCGGCGCGAGGATGGGGGGAGGGCGAGGGTGAGGTGCGCAGTGGAGGAGGTGAGGGGGGCGGGGGGCGCGGGGGGTGGGGCGACGCGGAGCAGGGGGGGCAGCAATTGGAGGAGGAGGCGAAGGAGGGAGCTGGAGAAGCGGGCGCGGGGGGGAGTAGCAGGATTCGGCACGCCGATGGGTAGCTGCAGGGGCCCCGACCAGCGATGGGGCGCACGGCGGGGGTCTTGCACGTTGACGGCATACGTGCCCGACCCCGCCTCAGACCAGTCAGCTCAGGCGCGCCGATGCTAATGTTTCAGGTGGCCTTAAGAGGGCATTGCTCGGGCCCTCGCGCTCTTCGTATATGCGTCCAGTGGCAGCCTAGGGCCCTCCTCAGCGACGTCGGTTGCCATGCTGCACGGGTGGTTCTTTCGGGGCTCCTCATTGCGGCGCGAGGGTCGCAGTGGCTAAGCTTGGTGCCATCGTCACGCCCGCCCAGACGGCATTCGGCATCTAATTTGTGTCGGGTTGTAATTCCGAGGGGCCGCTTCGGGTCAATTCGGGGGTATCTTGCTCATCAATCGGGGCCCCGCGGGGCCCTCGGCTGCCATTCGGGGGCGTTTGGCGGAGGGGTGTCCGCCGCCTGCGGCGGCCCAGTGGAATTCTGGGTTGGAGGGGGGCCCACAGCCACGACGGCCGTCCTTAGCAAGAGGGCCCCAAGCGGCCCCGTGGGATGTACATGTGGTAGCACCGCTGCGGCATTATTTCGCACGTCCGTTGTTTTTGTTGCCGATGTCCCTGCCCCCCCTCCAGACCGACCTCTCCACCGACGATGCCGCGGAGCGCTTCTGGCGCGGGATCCACAACCACGCGTTGTTGACCAGCAAGGGTGAGCGCATCAACATGGGCAAATTCCAACAGCCCGTGGCGGCTGCAGGGAAGAGCATCGATCTATTTGGGTTGAAGGCGTACGTGACCAATGTCGCTGCCCTCAGCTTGGGCTTCAAGGGGGCGGATCGGAGGAAAACTCCTCCGCCGCCTGCCGCGCCTGCGGTCGCCGCGGCCGAGGACGCCACCAAGATGACCCTCAAGCAGGCGTCGGCCATGTCATTGGGGGAGCAGTGTGCCAACCAGCTGGACCGCGCGGCCTACCTCTACGGCGACGCCAACAACTACTACATCATGAGGCTGCTCGTGAACGTTCTGGGGAGCACAGCCGAGCTGCACGGGGGGCCCGCGTGGGGTTGCAATTCGGGTTGTTGGCGGGTGTCGTCGTCGCACGGCGACGACGACGACGACGACGATGACGACGACGACGATGGCGGCGGCGGTGGCGTCGGCGACGACGACGACGATGACATGTTCGGACGACGCGCGTTCTTGTCATGATGTTTCCCCACAGGCCGCAGCCTTACAGTCACGTAGCGGCATTGCCGCCATAATCATAACCACGTCGTGTTGGGTGGGCGGCGGCGGGTGTCATGGAGAGTGTGAGGTGGGGAGGTGACGACGGCGATGGGGGCGACCCCAGATCTGGGGTCGCTGACGAGGCCCCGATACCGATGGCGCGTTTCGCGACATCGGCGGCGCCATCGTCATCGTGGTTTCGTTGGCGTGGCTTCCATCGCGTAGCGTCGTATTCGTGGCTTTCCCAGCGTGGTGTCCCCCGTGGCTTCGCCGTCGTGGCTGTTTGAGTTCGGCGTCGTTCTTGCAGCGTCGTTGGTGCACTGCGCTTCCCCAGCTTGCCCCTTGGGTATCCTTTTAGCCCTCCCCGAGGCAGAACGCTGGCCTACGTTCGCAGGACGCCACCATCCCGTGGGGACTCAAGATGATCCGCGGAGAGGTTCGCAAGCCCATGATGCTGAGCGTTCAGATATTGAACACAAGGCAGCTCTACGCCGACATGGGCATCGAGACCACGTGGCCGCGCCAGGCGCTCTTCCTGGATCACCCGCGCGTCCTGCGCTCGGACCTGGCGGCGGCCAGGATGCTTGCATTGGTGTCGTCTCTGTGCGTCGAGCACGCGAGGCGCGGCCTGCCGTTCACTCACGGGTACCCCAGGCGCCAGGTGATGATCTTGTGCCCGAAGCTCCGCCCAACATTCTTTCGGGAATTCAAGGCCGACCACGCCATTTTCCAGGAGCTGGGTCAGGTGGCGTTCCCAGGCGTCGAGCAGATGAAGGCCAGGAGCCTGTTCATGAAGATGAGCGTGAAGCACCTGCAGGCGGTCTTGGACGCCGAGGACTGGGCGCCGACGCAGAGGCTATGTCGGTTTAATCCGTCGTCGTTCGGCGCCGCTGTCGGCAGTTCGCCAGCGCCCCTTCCCCAGCGTGCCATTCGAATGGCACGGCTGGGCTGGAGGGTTGTTGGCGGCGGCGGTTGGGGTGGTTGGGGGAGTGGGGCAGGGCGGCGCGGCGGATGGGGGATCCGGCGGAGATGGGGTGGAGAGGCGGGGGCTAGGCAAGGGGCTGGCGGCACGGGGGGTGACGTACGGAGGGAGGGGGCCCAGGCGGGCTCGGATGGTGGGCGGGAGGGGGCCGCGGCGGTGCTCGATTCATTCGAACCACCCAGGCTCTTGGACCACTTGAAGGTCAAGTGCGCGCGCATCATCGGGAGCCAGCTGGTTGAGGACAGTTTCAATATGGCAAAGGGCAGGGTGGACACCCAGAAGAATACCGTTTCCTCCGCCCCCGCAACGATGGCCACTTGCATCGACGCGAAGGTGATCGACTCGGTGCACGACTTCAAGCCCATCGTCGTCGGCACGGAGCCGATGGCCAGGTCCAGCACTTTCGAGCCGTCCACGTTCAGGCCGAGGCTGCAGCAGAGACACCTCGACGACGACACGAAGGCGCTCAAGTTGTGGGGCGTCGCAGGCCATGCAGATCCATCCTGGTTCAGCCCAGGGTCACGGGGCATGTTCTTGCCCTTCGCTGACATCGAGGTGTTGCGCCAGTGCAAGGCGCAGCACAAGATGAACTCGGTCGACAAGAAGTTCCTATGCCGCTTGGTTAACGAGGGCTTGGTCATCCAGCACAAGGGCAGCGGGGACAGAAGCTGGTATATTGGCATGGGGAATGTGGAGGGCAGCTTGGCCGTGGCATGGCCCGTCTCCCCTTGCGACCCCAGCAACCGCGTTTTCACCTTCGACGCGAAGATGAGCTTCAAGTTCTTCGTGGTCCTGGACCCCTCCGAGTGGATCGCCGCGCCGATTCGCATCGACTCGCCGCTCCGCCAGGCCGTGCAGTGCGAGCTCGCCAAGGTCACTGGCAACGCGACGAGTGCTACCGAGATCAGCTTGAAGGCGGGTCGGGCATCCTGGAATGCGTAGTGCAACGAGGGCGGAGGATGATGATATGACGGATGCGGTACGTGTGGGTGGATATGGGGATGTCGGAGGAGGATGCGGGCGGATGGGAGGTGGGGAGATGCCCTAACAGAGGAGGGGGGCGAGAGGGGGGTGGGGTGCGGGGTGGGAGGGGATAGGGGGGGAGGGCATGGGGGGGATGTGGGTGCATAGGAGGACGATGGAAGTGATGTGGAGGCAGGATGCGGACGGATGAGGGGGAGGAGAGACGGGGAGAAGGAGGGCCAGTAGCCGCCCGAGGCTAGCCACGAGTACGGGAACTTGCTCGTGAAGGTGTCCATGGTCGGCCAACCCCAGCCGCTCATGGAGTGCGTGGCCGAGCAGGGTTTCTTCTCTTTGAGCGCCAGCTACCTGGAGGACGTGTGCGACGCCATGGAGTGGCCGTACACGTCCACGACGTTGGCGGGCTTGCTCAAGTCAATGGCCGAGAGCATATGGCCTGGGTGCGGCCCCGATCAGGTCAACAAGGTCCTGGAGGCCCGCATGGCGCACATGGATGGCGTCGACGGGCTCGAGGACTTGTTGGGGGTCGAATGGGTTACCGACATGCTCGACAAGTCAACGACAGAGGAGGTTCTCGAGGAGATCAAGAGCGCCAAGTCGTTCAAGGTCAGGCGGTCTGGGTTTTTGGACGAGTACGACCGCTTCAAGGATAGCGCGCTTTCGCCCCTTCTCCCTGCCTCCCTGCCTCCCTGCCTCCCGCCCACCACCCTCCGCCATGACTCGCAGCCCTCTTCAACAACTGCCCCCCTTCCCCCGTGGCACTTCGGGTAGCTCACGCGCCAAACTAAACGTTACATCACGTAAACGCCGTCAACAGCAGCGCAGCGCCAACCACATAACAAACGCACGAAACACCGCCATCACCGTCACCAGCAATCATTGAAGCAATCATTCAAGGCCCCCAGCCACGAATTTCCTCTCCGCGACGATGCGGGAGCAGGCGGATGTTGGATGTATCCCGCAGCCGTTTTGGGCCACAACTTCACGCGATTTCTATATCACATTTGTCAGTTCCGTTCATTAGATTTCGAGCGATGGTTCCGAAACGCATGGCTGCCCCAAGAGCGAGCGATCCCGACGAGTGGACCTACACGAAGGCAAGTCGGTGGTACTACGATATGTCTTCAAGGAAGTTTTACAAAGAATGGGCCACAATCTACTATGATTTGTGGTGGGATCCGATTAACTACGTTCATGTGCCTGTGGCGTGGTACCTTGAGGACATCATCTGGCGCAAGGGTACCGTGCAGGAGAAGTGGAGCTGGGATTATGTTCATCAAGACTCGAACAAAAGGCGGAGGCGTCGTGCTTCTGATTGAAATATTCGGGCAGATACATAGTTGGACGTTTTGGGCATGCCTAGGCAGCGTCGCATCGGCCTACTCATTCTTCATATGCATAGGCAGCGTCGCATCGGCCTCTGGTAGCGTGCATCGGCAGCGTCGCATCGCCTCGGTCATTCTTCATATGCATAGGCAGCGTCGCATCGGCATCTACGCATGCCTAGGCAGCGTCGCATCGGCCTCTGGTAGCAACGCTACATGTATAGTCTGTGCCCAGCCTGTGGCAGCGTGCTGCGCACTGCGCGTGAACACTCCATCATCATCATCATTACCATCATCACCACCATCACCACATCAACATTACCATGCAGAAGAGGGGGTGATATCAGCTCGTGTAATCACGAACTGTGGTGCTCGTGGTTGCCCTCTCCGCGTCCGTGCGGCACGCTTTATTCTTCGCCCTCGGGGCGCGCCCTCCTGGAGCGGTCCCGCTCGCCATTTGCCCCCAGGGGGCTGGTGGATTTCCCAGCGGGCGCTCGTGGGACGATTCCTCGCACATCAGCGTGCCACTTGGCGCGGTGCTCTCGGCGGGGCGTTGTTGCGGCCACGCGCGGCGGGCGGCTCCCATAGCCACCCTCCGCCACAACACAACATAACAAGAGGCACCCCATATAGGCCCGAGCTGCCCACCTCATTCGGCTCCAGTGATAACCCCGAGAGGTGCAAGATCTGCCCGCCCCAATTGTTGGCGCCCCCGAACGGCCCACATGGCCACCCCCAGGGTTGCGGCTCCGTATCGCCAAAACATTGCCACCCCAAACGTCCCGCATGGCCACCCCAAACGGCTCACATGGCCACCCCCGAGCGGCCTCCAAGTGCCCGCATGGCCACCCCAAGCTCCGCCGTTCCAGGGTGCCCCCCACTCGGCTCCCATGAAGGCCCCGGGAGGCGCCAAACCTGCCCACCCCAAATGCTGCTGCTCCGTAGCCATCTCGGCTCGAGTCTCGGCGTGATCTGCGAGGGCGGCCCACATGGCCACTCCTCGGTACAATGAATGCCATCGCTCGAGGTGGCTAACGTACGCCGCGGCGGTGTTGCGCGACCGCTCGAGGACGCCGCGGGATTCGGCGCCCGTGGCGTCGGCCACGACCCCTAGCGTCGGCGTCGCGTACCAGGAGCGCCTTCGGCACGTCGCCGCGACTGAGCCGACTGGGCAGCAATGGAAGGATCCAGGGAGGGTAGAGGAGGTCGGTGAATTTGGGGTGGGGGGCTGGGCGGGCGGTTGCGATTGCGCGCCCATCCCTCCACTTCGAATTCACCGTCTTTGGAGAGTAGCGGTCGCCACCGTCGTCGCCGTCGGCCCTCCCCCCCCCCCCAGTCCCCGACCGAGCCCACCCCCCGACGCCGCCCCGTGGAGACTGCTTCGGGTCGGGGGGTGAGCTCGCCCATCTGGACTCGGGGAGGTAGTGGCTGGAGGGGGGTGTTCGTGGGGCGGAGGGGCGGCGGCGACGCGGGCGCCCGTTCCTCTGTCCAGGAGCGCGCTCTCAGGGCGGAGTGGGGTAACAGGAGGCTCAGACAGGCCGAGCAGGAGCTCTTCCGCGTCCGCCAGCGCTACGCTGACCTCGTCTTGCAACGCAGCCGCATGGCGCAGATGGATGCCGTCATCTTGCCCATTGCGGGAGGGCACGCCGTGGCGGACGACGCGGGCGATGTCTCGTCGACGTCGTCGTCGGAGGAGGAGGAGCTCCAGGATACCTTGGCGCGGGATTCGGAAGTGACGGGCATTCCAGCTGAGAGGCGTGTATACCGTGGCATACCGAAGAACGATGATGAGGGGCCGAGGATGACTCCTGCCTTTGCTCCTCCAGCTCGCCAGGCTCGGCGGGCCATTCCGCTGCCCATGAGCGACGCCGCCCGTATTACCATCGGGGCGCCGAGTGAGATGAGCATGGCGTTGGTTGTTGCTCCGCGCCAATAGAGCGAGTGGGGCGTTGGTTGTTGCTCATCCGCGCGCCAACAGAGCGCCCGATGACATCCTGCCCCTCGTGATGGCGGGCAGACTTGCGCTACCCCCTCTCATATTCATGCTTCCCGATCAGGTCCCGCCCCACCCCCCTCGCTTGCTTGCCCCAGCATTGGCATTTGCCCCTCTCGCGCCGAGGTGCGTTCCACCTTTCGCCCGTCTCAGTCGCACCGATGCTGATATGCGCCCTCTCCCTCGCGCAGATTGGGCGGCTAGGCGCCGCGGCGGTCGGTGCTATCACGGCTACGGCCGACATGTTCAGCGATGGTGGCACGACGCTCATGTTCACTTTGGTCATGCCCCTCGCTTTTGGCATTCCGCAAATGTTCGCCGAGGGTAGCGCGCCGCTTAGTGCATATATGTTCCTACTAGGGCCGAGGCGCACCCACGGCGCGTGTCCTTTGCGTTATACTTGCAATATCTGAAAACATGCATGCGTACGAATGACATGCCTTCTCATGTAGCGCAGTTGGCCATCCTCGGCCGCTCAACGGCACACGTTTGCGCTTCGTGTCGGCAGGTGCTCGGCCTACCAAGCCGCGCGCCTGAGTAACTCTGGCACGGTAGTTGCACACGCGGATTGGGGGTCTCAGTATGTGTGGTCAGTGTCGCGAGGGCACATCGGGAAGATTCGTTGTTCGCCGATGTGATTCTGCTCCCATGTAGACCATGGTCCTACACTTCCGCCCCGCCCCAGTTTCCCATGTCTCCTTCGATGCCACTGCGACCATAAACTCATATCCCTTTACTGGCCTCCTCCTCCCCCTCCTCGATTGCGCTGCCGCCGCAGTCGCCGTCGCGGCCGTCGTCGTGCTTCAGCTGCCGCCGTCGCCGTCGCCCTGCCAGCTGCTGCAGGGGAGGGGTGGGTGGGCCGTCGCCGTCGATGCGGTTGTCGCCGTCGTCGCCCGTCGGTCGGTCGTCGTCGTTGCGTTGCCGCCGTGTTGTCTGCCGCAGCCGCCGCCCTCGATGTCATCGTCGTCTGTCGTACGACGTCGTCTCTGCATCGGCGCATGCCGATGTCGTGCGGTTGCCGTGCCGATGCCGTGCGGTTGCCCATCCTCGTGCGATGCCGATGCCGTGCCGAGGCCGTGCCGATGCCATGCCGATGCCGTGCCGACGCCGTACCGATGCCGTGCCGATGTCGTGTGGTTGCCGTGCCGATGCCGATGTCGTACGGGTGCCATGCCGACGTCGTGCGGTTGCCCGCACGCTGGTGGTTGTCGCTTTGGGGTCGATGAGGTGGCGGTCGGGGTCGGCCGCAGGTCGTATCGTCGCCGATCTCGGGGCAGGGATTTGAGTCGCTCGTCTTGCCCCCACGCTGCCGCCGCTGCCCACCCACCCACCCACCCTCCGTCGCCGCAAAATTGCGGCTCGCAGGGCAAGGTGTACGGCAAGCCCGCGGCGAGCAGCAGGACCAACAAGCACCCGTTGCACGGCTTGCGCTTCCCGAAGGACCCGCCGTCCGCCGCGGACGACGTGACCCAAGTGATGGTCAAGCCCTTCTTCCCGCCAGATACGTACGTCTGGCGCTCCAACGGCGAGGGCGCCTGGTTGTTCAACCAGCCGTCCATTAAGAAACTGGGCAGGCACACGTGGGCGCAGCACGGGGGGTCGTCTCAGAAGGCAGTCCGCGCGTGCATGGTTGAGGCATGGGCAAATTTTCTCGAGGTCCACCGCCTCCCCCACTCGCATTGCCCCATCAGCGGGCTATTGTGAGGCACGGTGCGGTCGAACTAGATTCCTTGGGTCAGTCGAAAGCAGGGCAGCTATGCCATGGTATCATGACAGCACTGGTTTCCATATTCGGACCGTTCGACTGCACCTGGGCGGTGGCCTTGCATCGATGCGATGCCAGGGTAATTTACGTACCACTTGCAAGTTTGCAAGTGCTCCCCTGGCCGAGGGCATGGCTGGGGCATGATCTGTTGGCAGGCCGTAACCTGCCCGACGTTGCGCATCGTTCTCGGATGAAAACCAAGGTCGTTTCATCGTGGTCAGGTGGGGGTTGGGCCAGCGCCGACGTGGGCCTTTGATGGGCCTTCCCCGATGGGTCGGCGGTGTGGGAGCAATGTGCCTTCGGTCAGGGGCGGTGGTCTTCCACATTGAGGATTTCCCTGGGTCGTCGTCGCCGCCGTCGCCGTCGTCGACCGCGTCGCCGTCGCCGTCGCCGTCGCGCCGTCGCCGACTGACGCCGTCGCCGTCGTCTTCGGAGTCGGAGTCGTCGGAGTCGCCGTCGCCGTCGCCGTCGTCGGGCCCGCTTCATTGATGAGGGGTCGCGGAGATGTCGTGTCAGTTGCTGAGGGGGCTCCGTGCCGTGCCCTGCGCAGGGTACGGCCTGCGCCGTGCCGTGCCCGTGCCGTGCTGAGGGGGCTCTGCCCTGCTGAGGGGGCTCCGTGCCGTGCCGTGCCGTGCCCCGCTGAGGGGGCTCCGTGCCGTGCGCCTGCGCCGTGCCGTGCCGTGCCCTGCTGAGGGGGCTCCATGCCGTGCCCGTGCCGTGTTGCCAGCTTGCCGTTGCGTCGCGTGCCTGGGTGGCCGCGCGACGCGCGATTAGTTAACTCTTCGTTGCACCGCCCGCCCTTCGCCACAGCGAGCCCCCACAGGATAATGCATCTGGGGGGCGTGAGGGTGGGCGCCGTCCCTGGCCCCTCCCGCCCCGCCATCCTGTTCGTGAGCCCCCTCCCCCCAGAGGAGCTCCAGAAGGAGAACCGCCTGCGCGTGGCCGGCGCGTGGGGCTACGGCCAGGTCGTCGCGCGCGGCCCGTCGTGGGACAGCGGCGGCCACGACTCGTTCGACGACGGCAGTGGCGCCTCGGGCTACACCATCCCACCGTCGGAGGAGCAGATTCAGGAGTGGCTCAAGGTCATGCTGTTCGGACATGCTGAGGGGATCGGCGAGAAGTGCAACGTGACTGTCTGGCACATGCAGCACCATTGGATCAACCGCAGCATCGTGGCGGAGTTCCCCGCAGGGTGCGGCCAGAAGGTCTTCAAGGCTGGTGATGGCCACCGCTTCGAGCTGCGCGTCGTCGATGGCTTCTCGTTGCAGTCGGACGTCGATCGGTTCTGTTCGCTGCACACTACCATGATGCATGTGCGCAAGTCCTTCACCGATTGGCTGCCGACGTACATGATCGCCCACAACATTCAGCATGAGAACTACAACCGCATCCGCGAGCTCGAGGAGGCGAGCATCCAGTGGATCAAGGATGGCATGCAGCAGAAGCTGAACGAGCGCATCCAGTACGCGCTCAACGACGAGCAGGAGAGGATCAATGCACCCAGGCAGCTGAAGGCGACGACCTCGGCCCCGAAGGACCGCGAGGCCATGAGGAGGAGGAGGAGGATGGGAGCTGATGTGGAGTAGGACGAGGGCGAGGTAGGAGGTCTGAGGATGAGGAGGGGCCAGAATAGGCAGGACGAGGTAGGAGGTAGGAGGATGATGATTAGGTAGATGAGGATATCGAGTAGGGAGGCGATATAGGAGATAAGAGGATGAGGAGGAGGTAGAGTGGGGAGGACGAGGTGGGCGAGGAGGTAGAGTAAGGAGGACGAGGTAGGAGGTATGCGGATGAGGAGGGAGGTCGGATTGGGGGCCTCCTCATCATACCTCAACCTACCTCCTCCTCCTCCTCCTCATCCTCCCTACTCTACCTCATCCTCCGTACTCTTACCTCCTCCCTACTCTACCTCCTCCGACTCCCTACCTACCTCCTCTTCCTTACCTCACCTCCTCCTTCAACCTCATCCCCGCCCTTCCCCAGGAGCCCCCCAAGAAGAAGGAGGAGCCCCCGTCGGGCAAGCGCAAGCGGTAGGCCGATCGCGGCCCTATAGGGTCGCGATCGGGATGGGCCTCCCCTCCCCTTCATCCCTCCTGCCTCGTCCCTCCCCTTCCTTCCCTCCTCGTCCCTCCCCAATCCCTCGTCCCTCCCCCACCCTCCTCCTCTTCCCTCCTCCCCTCCTCCTCCCCCCTCCTCGATCCGATCCTCCTCCTCTTCCCTCCTCCTCCCCTCCTCCTCCTCCCTCCTCGGTCCGATCTCCCTCCTCCTCTTCCCTCCTCCCCTCCTCCTCCTCCCTCGATCCTTGCTCCCTCCTCTTCCCTCCTCCTCCTCCCCCGTCCCATCCCGATCGCGACCCTCGCGACGAGCTTCGCCGTGCGCGGAGCGAGCCCGTGTTCTCTGGAGAAGGAAGTACGCTGCGAGCGCTGCGGGGGAGCGAGAACAGCGCTGCGAGCGCTGCGGAGGATGAAGTAGAACAGAGGAGGAGGAGGTAGAAGGAGGAGGAGGAGGAAGAAGGAGGAGGAGGAGGAGGTAGAAGGAGGAGGAGGTAGAAGGAGGAGGAGGTAGAAGGAGGTAGAAGGAGGAGGAGGTAGAAGGAGGAGGAGGAGGTAGAAGGAGGAGGAGGTAGGAGGAGGAGGAGGAGGAGATAGTACATAATCCCCTCCTCCTCCTCCTACTTCCCCCTCCCTGGTCTACCTCATCCTCCCTACTTCCCCCTCCTTACTTTACCTCCTCCCTCCTTACTTTACCTCCTTACTTTCCCCTCCATCCCTACTTGCCAAGAATCGAGTCGGGCGGGGTGACGGGACTGGGGTCGGGGGTGTCTTTTATTCTTACCAACGACGACGACGACGAGGACGACGACGACGACGACGACGACGACGACGACGACGACGACGACGACGACGACGACGACGACGACGACGACGACGACGGCGGCGGCGACGGCGGCGGCGGCGGCGGCGGCGGCTACGGCAAAGCGACGGCGACAGCGGCGCGGCGGCGGCGGGGCCACGATCGAACTCCGCGATTCCGGCACTCCTCCTCCTCCTCCTCCTCCTCCTCCTCCTCCTCCTCCTCCTCCTCTCCTCCTCTCCTCCTCTCCTCCTCCCACCTCCCTTCTCCTCCTCCTCCTCTCTTCCTCCCTCCTCCTCCTTCCTCCTCCTCCTCCTCCTCCTCCTCCTCCTCCTCCTCCTCCTCCTGACCTGCGACGGCATGGTTCGTGTCGATGCCGCTGTTCGTTCCTCGGCTGCGGCAGCCGGAGGCCCGCTTCGGGCACCCGGGGGCCGTCCGTCGAGCGGGTATACTGTCCTGGAGCGGGAGGCTCGGCCCTCGGGGGGAGTCTGGAGAGCCCGGGGGCCCGCGGATGGAGGCAGTGACGGTGTCGGAAGTCCTTGCTCCCACCCTACCGCACATGTCTGTGCTGCCCTCTCCTCGGGTTGGGCTTGAGACTCCGGGGGTCTCTTGGCATCGCTCGGACGTGTGCATTTTTCCTTCGGCGAGGGCCATCGAGGAGCATCCTTGATCATTTGGCGAAAAAACCACGCACGAAACCGAAAAAAACACAGGGAATGGACGTCCGAGCGATGGCGAGGTCTCGTCATGTCCGTGCTGTCGCAGGCCTCGAGGTTGACACCAACACCAATGTCAGCGGTGTGTGTCTTTACCGAGGGCAGAAGATCCCGATCTCGGTGATGGTGGTAAGATTCCGGCCTCCAAGGTGGCCGAAGTATTACCACCAGCACCGGAATCTAGGATCACCTTCCCCTGTGGAGGCAGCCCCCCTGTCTTGGTGTTGGTGCCCGTTTCCAGGCCTCCCAGGCCTGGAAATGGGCACCAACACCAAAACAGGCGGTTGCCTCCACAGGGGGAAGATGATCCTGGATTTCGGTGTTGGTGGTAATACTTCGGCCACCTTGGAAGCCAGAATATTACCACCATCACCGAGATCGGGATCTTCATCCTTCGATGGAGGCACACCGCCGATCTTGGTGTTGGTGTCAACCTCTTGGCGTGCTGCCCTCTCCTCGGGCTGGGCTTGAGACTCCGGGGGTCTATCTTTGTGGCGTTGGCCCCAGCCTATCCTTGGTGCCGATGCGGCCTGGCGTCTATATATAGCCTGGGCCACTACGGCCCGACACGGCACGCGGTCGATGATGCCTGGCCGTGCACGGCCGCGCAGGCCCTCTGCTCCTGCGCAGGGGCTCCGCAGTCCTGCTTCAGGGTTCCCCATCGTGCCTGCACTCGGGGGCGGAAAAGAGGGGGGTGATGACTAAGGGGGGGTGGATATCATGGCGCGGGGCATGATATTTCCCCAGATGTCATGGCGCCCCTTCTCATTTCCTGACGTCCCTGGCCCCCCGGCTGGGCCGCGCACATGCCGCCGGTCATGATTTGCACCCCCCCTCTTGGACACCCCCCTCTTGGCCGCTCCCGAGAGTTGGGGGGGTGGGACTGGCGTCGAAGCTTTCTCGCCGGCCTCCCGAAGAGCACCCGCTGGGCCTCCCCTGGTTGGCTGTGTGCATGGGGGCTTACGGTGGTGGCGCTGGCGTTGGTTAGGGAATGTGCCCAGGAAGCTTCGGACCCTGGAGGATTCCTTATCTGATGAGGGTGGCGGTAATACCCATGGCCAAGCCTCACTCGGTGTTCCTCCGGCTTCCAGACCCTGGATTCTTACCCACATGCTTATCCAATGGCTTAAGTGCACCTTGCGCGCCTCGGGGGCCCAATCCGGAATTGCCCTGGACCGCGGTGATCCTGGGATAATTCAAGCGCCCTACCTTCCCGAATCATCGGGGCTGGGGGTGGTCGGGGGTAGCTGCAGATTCGCGCCTCGGGGGCTCAAGCCGGAGTTACCCCTCGCAGTGATCCCGGGATAATTCGTCGTGCCTCGGGGGCTCAAGCCGGAGTTACCCCTCGCAGTGATCCCGGGATAATTCGGGCGCCCTACCTTTCCGAATCATCGGGGCTGGGGGCGGTCGGGGGTAGCTGCAGATGCTCGCCTCGGGGGCCCCAGCTGGAGCTGCCGCGGACCGCGGGGATCCCCGGCGCCAATTCGGGCGCCCCACCCTCCCGCATCATCGGGGCTGGGGGCGGTCAGGGGTAGCTGCAGATTCGCGCCTCGGGGGCCCAACACGGAGCTGCCCCAGACCGCGGGGATCCCCAGATAACGGCCAGGGGTAGCGGCAGATTCGCGCCTCGGGGGCCCGAATCTGAGCTGCCCCGGACCGCAGTGATCCCCAGCTAATGCGGGCGCCCCATGCTCCCGCATCATCGGGGCAAGGGGGAACCCAGACCAAAGTTACACCGCACCGCAGGTATCGCAGAGCAGCTCGGGCGTCCTACCCTCCCGGATCATTGGGGCTGGGGGCAGTCAGGGGTAGCTACGCGTTCGTGTCTCGATCGGGGCAAACCAGATTGACTCCGGGCCGCAGTTGTCCCAGGTAATTCGGGAGTCTCAGCACAGGCTGAGGCTCAGGGGCATCACGCATGTGTTCTCCATCCTCCGATCCGTCATCGTTAGCGTCACCGCCATCTCCGTCATCAGCAGGCACCGGCATACCGTTACGAGCAGCAATGCGCGAGCGAAGCGCTTCTGCAAGCCTGGGGTCCAGCGCCTGAAACTGCAAGTGCAACGCAAACGCCAGATCATCCGGCGATCACGCAGACCAGATTGGCCTTAACCAGCCGCTTGAGCCCAATAAGCCGTGGCCCTGGCAGAAGCGGTACGTACGTTGCTTAGCTGGCAGATCCTCGAGCTTCGCCTTAGCTGAGACGAACTCCAAGACTTTGCCGTGCCCTTTCTTTGTCCAATTTTGTGGCACGCTGTGTAGTCTGCGCCACGTGACGCTTGAGATCGTCGTGAGCGCTCTGTGTGCGTGCTCGGCCATGGCCTTGGGGTCACCCGCAGCGAGGGCCCGCCGAGCCACAACTTTTGGCTTGTTGCGGCGGGCCCAGCTTGGACTTGCAGCTGTCGGAATCGCCGTCGGACATGCGCACACACTCAGAGCCCCGAATCACCACGGGTAGCTCGGGTCAGGGCTAGCTCGGGTTCGTTTTTCGGGATTACCTCGGAGAACTTGGGCGTCCAACGCACGCGAGGCGAGCGGAGCGGGCTCGAGCTGCTTGTGCATTGGTGTGGCAGGCGATGTAGAAGATATGGCGGTCCTCTCGCCCGGGCACCAGAAGCGTCACGCGGAGGAGCGGGAGCAGGCACATTGGGACGAGAAGCGCTACACTTGTAGCATTAAGTCGGGCGTGTCCCTCTACAGGAGGAATATTCTGAAATGGTGAAAATATAGTCGTGGGACTTTTTTTAGTATATGTTTAACAGTTTTTGAGGTTTAACTTATTTAACAAAAGGAACAAATATTAGAAAATCGGCCTGTAGGGGGACAGGCCCGACCTAATTGTAGCAGCAGTTCTCCCAGCCTCACTGCGCGACCGCTCTTCTATCCAATGGACTTGGGGGAATCGCAAGAAGCTCCGACTGGGGTGCGAACGCCGTCCCCGAAAGGGGTGTGTGAAAGAGCGCGTCGGGCGCCCCCTCGATCATTGCCGCACAGCAGCAGGAACCTCTGTTCGAAATCCCGCGACGTGGACTTCTAGCCTTGAGCCAAGATGACTACGGATAGGGTCCGTCTGACCATCCAAGGAGAACTTCTCCTTTGTTTCCGTTCCGTAAGTTTTGTCTTGGAGTGTTCCCGGGTCGCTTGGCCGTTGCCGGGGCGCATTGGCGGTAAGAACGAATGCCGCCCGATGGAATGCCGCCCGATGGGCTCGCGCGTCGAGACATTAGCAACATGCTGAGGTGGTTCGGTCCGTTCCGCATGAGACATCCTCACAAGACAGCGTTCCGAGACGATCAGATTTGACATGGTCTGGCCCGTTTCGCTGGAGACATCCTCGCAAACCTGTGCTCCCAGACGCTACGCGAGAGGTGGTCTGGCCCAATGGCAGGCAACGGACATTATCCGCTTCCTGCCCTTTCAAAGGCGACCTATTGAC